TTTGCATTTCCTGTGGCAAAGTTTGCCCACCCCTGAGTCTGCCACCAACACTGAAAACTCCCAGCTCAGCCGCCTTCCTTCCAATCTTGACATCAGTCCAAAAACCAGGTACAGTAGCCAAGGCCACCTACCAGTTTTATGAACGCAAGAAGGAAATCCTCTTCCTTAGTGTCTCTGGAACACCCTTTTTTCTACACTAATTTTAAGTAAAATCTACCTTTTTTCCTCTAGCCCTGCTTTTTCTTTTCTTTTCTTTCTCTTTTATTTATTTATTTACTAGCTCTGTGCCTGGCGTACAAACTCTCATCAAATATTTATCGAACAAAGGATTGTATGAATATTTGGATCAATCTTCCCTCTGAGGAAAAGCTTGAGGTTTTGTTGTTTTGGGTTTTTTTAATTTTTTAATTTTTATTTTTTTAAAGATTGGCACCTGAGCTAACATCTGTAGCCAATCTTCTTCTTTTTTTTTTTTTCCTTCTTCTCCCCAAAGCCCCCAGGTTAATAGTTGTATATGCTAGTTGTAGGTCCTTCTGGTTGTGGCATGTGGGATTCTGCCTCAGCATGGCTTGATGAGCAATGCCACGTCCACTCCCAGGATCCGAATTGGCAGAACCCTGGGCCACCGAAGCAAAGCGTGCAAACTTAACCACTCTGCCCCGGGGCCGGCCCCTGAGTTTTTTTAAAAGCCCATTTTTTGACCTTCAGAGATCTTCCAAATAGGACAACCATAAGGATGTTGGACAAACTGCATTCTTGCTAGAAGTTGAGGTTGGTAGGTGGAGGGCAATGCTGTTCATAGTTCAAAATTAGGAGTGATGGACAGTAAGGGGCATGCGGCCACAATGGAGACCACCACTGCAGCAGCCCCTCCTGGAGGGGTCTTAGATCCCTCACCGTGGCCCCAGGCAGGGGGAGGTTCATCAAGAGTTTGCCTCTTGGTCGCAAGGTTGAAATTATTTCCAGTTCAGAAATTTCATAATTCAGAACACCAATTGACTAAACATTAGGATATTTCTGCTACTGGCTATGATCATGTCTACATGCTCAAAACACTTAGCCTGATAAGGTGATTTGGAAAAAAAAGAGATTATTTTGATCCAAAACAGCCACCATGATTTCCACCTAGGAGAGAAGTCTGCAGACATCAGTCCATCTCCGCTGCAGCCTGAGCTTGTCTTTCTTTGGCCTTACCTTCTCATCATTAGCACTAGAGCACCGTGAAGTGAGCAGTAGGTTTTACCTTCGTTTATTTAAATCTGCTATTTACTAGCCATTCTTTTATCTTCAATAAAACAGGCTTACTGTAAACACAATTTTTTTCAAACAACACAGACATCAACAATGAAAAAAATAAAAGTCACTGTCAACATTCTTATGAGCATCCTTCCTTTCACTTCTCTGATTCCATCATCAAATATTTTAACATTATCCTGGTGATTCCAGTCCCACAAACTACCTTTCTTTAAGTATGTTGGGCTAAGCACTTTATGTTATCTCATTTAATTCTCACAACAGCCATAATGTGGCAATTATCCCCTTTTACAGATTGGAAACTGAGGCTCAGAGAGGTTGTAACCTGCTCAAGGGCACACAACTAATAAGTGACAGAGCTGGGTTTCAAATCCAGGTTCACCTTATTCCAAAGGGCGAATCTAAAAAAAAATAGCTATCATATTTTTATCCTTTTACTATGTGCCAGGCACTGCGCTAAGTGCCTTATATGTATTCTCCCAGACCTTTAAGCAAATTGATAAGGTAGATTTTATTCTACTGTTGAGAAGTCTACAGCATGGAGGGGTTAAGTGACTTGCCCAGAATCACACAGCTGGTAAAATGCAGAGCCAAAAAAGCAAGCCCAGGATTTCTGACTCCTGAGTTGGTGCTCTTAACCAGAAAACTACATGGTCCCTCTATCCCACCGCTGAGCCCATTTAATGTATATAGAGAGTCATACTCCACACGCTGTTCTGTACCTTGTTTTTCTCGTAGTATGGGCAGTGGGTTTTCAATCCTTGCCTTTAAATTTGAAACGACATGACCCAATTCTGCTCCCTTAAGCCAATAGCGGGCCCCCGCTCCCTGTACTCGATCGCAGCCCACATCCTGACCACTCACTCAAGCACTTGCCCTCTGTCCCTTCTCGACTCCTCACCTTGGTCTCCCCTTCGATTTGTCATCTTGCACCTACATCTCAAACCAGGTACTGCGCGGAGGCCCACTGACCCAGCCCTAGGTTTCATACAAACCCTCATCCCTGTCATTCGGCCACTTCTGACAACTCTGGTGAGCCACCTCGCCCCGTCCAGCCGACTACCCAGAACTCAAACCCTCAACCCAGCTCTTGCCTTGCGAGCAGTTGCTGCTTTCCCTGGATTTGCTCTGGCTTAATAAACAAGTCAGCAACAGAAATTCCATCAGATAACCTCCAAATTCCCTGTAGCTGAAAAGTAATATCCAAAGGTATCACCTCCACTTAAATTAGGAGGTAAGAGTTTCTTGGTAACTATGCACAGACTACCCCACCCTGAGGTTAAATGATGTCCATCGCTCTGCTTGAGGTAATCTCACTGTGTGGCTTTGAGCAAGTCACCTCAGCTCTCTTGTCGTCAGTTTCTTTATCTGTCAAACAACAGATAGAAGTAGATGGTGCCAGGCTCCTCTAAACTCGGAAATTCTATTATTCTATGATTAAAGAAATGACAAGCCTGGTAGATAGTAACCCCATCAATGTTTTTGTCCGGTCATTAGCCAGACTAATGAGGCCGTTTATGCAATCCAACTGCAAAGTTCACTTTGGGGGAGAAGAGGAGGAATCGGGGCAGTTGGATGTTCCCAGGCATCACTGGGGCCAACATTAAGTTGATGGAAGTGTGCTGGCAACAGTGAAAGGAAATCAGGGGGCTCTTCGCATAAGTGGGGTGCACTTTGGAATGAGGGAGCACTTTCTGTGAGTAGAAAGCTATCATCTGAGTGAAGCCAAGACGAAATCTACTTTCTGAAATTTTTTTGTTTGTTTTCTTTTTAAAGTTTGGCTTAAACACTTGTTTTTCTCTGTTCCTTATGTAATCTTGTGGGATGCGGCGTCAGAAAGTCATAAATCATTCATGGTGCTCCGGGAAAAAAAAATCACTTGTGCAGAGCAGATGCAACTTAAAATGAAATGGGAGAAATTTTTGCACGAAACCCAAAGAAAAACGTGACTCGTATGGTTCGTAGCCCAGGCTGATGGCCAAGTCCAGCGATCGCTATGTGGCTTGGTCATTTGTTTCTGGCTTCTCGTTGTGCTTCATTTTAAATGGAGACTTAGCTAAAGATACAGTCTGTCACAATTGTACTGCATTTTTCCAGGAGTCTTAGAAAAGATGCTAGAGTCGTGGCGTTTGTGGGGACAATTGAAACTGACAGATTTTATTTCCTGCTTGAAGAAACCAAGATTTTTGGATCTTTGCCAAAAAAAAATCCCTTTTGCAGTATACCCATCACTGCTGTCCATAATTCTTGTGGATTAATTAAACTCCCTTTGTAAAATATCAATACTCTTCCCCAAAACCCACACAGAAAAACATAAGCAGCCCCCAGCCGCAATAACCTATATAACTGATTCTCAAACATCAATGCCTTAAATAAATTGCTTTAGCTTTATAATTTCTAATGTGGCAGCTAGCTGTGATGAGATTTCTAATAAACAAGCAAATTATGGAGGGTTTTTTTTAACCTCTTTCATATTCATTAACTCATTCGAGCTTCACGGAAGTAGCAAGGACGGATATGTGTTCATTCATTAATTCATTCTTATAACAACCTTAACTGACTGTGAAGCCCTATGCTAGGGCACTAAAGATACAGACAAGATAACGCCCTTGTCCTTGCGCCACTCACAATACACAGGGTGACAGATATGTAAAAATCATTATAGAGAGACAAACCAAAATGAATAAACTCCCAAAAGTGAAATGCTTTGCCCTAGATCAAACAGCTGGAAAGTTCTGGAGCAGGGATTTCCTCCTAGGTCTCCAGGTCTAAGTTCAGAACACTCTCACAGAAATCCTGTAGCTTTTTGTAAATGGACAAGTTTTGATGGGAGAAAGTGAGGAAAAGAAAGCCCCCAGCCTGAGGTCCTGCCACTTAGAAGAATAATCTGGGTTAATCACCTTAGGAACCAGTGAGCAACCAGCAGAACTGAGGAAGAATTCTCAGCAGAAACGAGGGGAGCGTTCCCATAGGTCAGATTCACATTTCTCCTAGTCGCCCTGAGATAATGTCCAACCTAACAGAGTGCCTGGCACTGGGTTTGTCCTCAAAAAATGTCTATTTACTCTCTGTTCAATTGAATTCAAATTAGTCATATGACCACTTGTGGCTGTGTTACCAAATGACAGGCAGTTGCCCCCCAAAACTCTTGAGATCTCAGTGATGTTGCCTTGAACCCCCAGTTTCACAGCTCAGGAAAGACTTAAACCATCCTCAAGATCTTTGCTGTTTCCTGGTCTTGAGAATCTTATCATTTGGCTCCCTGTCGCCATTCTACCCCCATATCCCGAGGCACAGACTTTTCCCCATTTTCCAAGAGAAATCTACTTGTGCCAACCACTTGCTAAGCTTTCAAGAATCTACTGAAGATCAGGCAGTTCTGGGGAGAAATTACATCATGCATAACCCAGCATGGCTGAGTCACCATCTTGCTGGTTGTACCCACCCCGATCCCTCTCATATTTCCCTCTCTCTTTCCAGAGCAACAAATATATTCTTCTTCTTTGTTCAGGCCCAGCTATGCTATATATGCAGAGTCTCAGCGTCTACTGTAGGTGGGCTTATCAAGAGGTTTTTTCCCCACCACTGTAAATCTCTCCTCAGGAAGAATTCTCAGACCAACTGCCAAGACAATAAAAATTTTCTGCCTCTCCCTCCACTCTAAACTAAACTCAAAGATGTCCACCACTGCCCGTTGTTTTCAGTATTTCTGTGGCCACACAATGAGAGCTGCCAGGGGTTCCTACCATAACACAGCTCCTCAGTGCTCTCCTTGCTCAACCTAAGGGCTGCTCTCACTTCATCCAATGCTCAGCCTGTCCACCTGGCTTCGATTCCTTGGCGTCACATGCTTTCTACACTCCGAGTGTGGTGTGATGTTTTCTGGGTCTGTAGCAATAAGCAACAGAAAAAAAAAATCATTAATCACCTGCTATGTACAAAACACTATACGAGCGAGTGGGGAGAATAAGGGATCATGGCCTCTGTCCTCCAGGAACTCATAAGCTAAGCTTTGGTATAAACTTACCATATAATCTTAGGAAAATGACAGTTTCCAGGCTTCAGTTTCTTCACCTGTGAATTGGTGGTGTTATAAACACCTGTGTCATAGGGTCATTGCAAAAAGCAAAGAAAGTAAAGTGGGAAAAAATGGTAAAAATGTTAAGTACTTGGTTTAGTCCATGGCTAGCAAAAATAATAAATGGAGGGCAAATATATAAATCCATACTGATTGCTGAGTGGAACAGGAAAACATCTGTAATACAAGGCAGACTTTGATAAGCTTTATAGGAGAGATACCAAGTGGTGGGGTGCTGTGTGTGAGGGGAAGTTTCCTTCCAGCTGAAAGGCTTGAGAAAGACCACTCGGAATAGATAGAAGCTGAGCTAGTGAGATGATTTATGTAAAGCACTCGTGAAGAATGAGTAGGATCTGGACAAATGGTCTGGGGAAGTTCCCACAAGGAGTTGATAATCGGTGCTGAAAAGTTGTCTATTTCCAGTGGTGTTTCAGTCCTGAAGGCTGCATGCAAAAGTGTTTTATAACTTTTCAACTATAAAATAAAGGGATTTTTATGACCACTATGAAATCACTCGATTTCAGCAACAAGGAGCGCATCAATCCCCAGGGATATGGAGATGAAAGATCGCCCCCTTCTCCACCCTGCACTCGTTGCGCCTGGAAAGCCTTGTTTCCAGATATGCACGTCACAGTTTAATGGGGATACCTGTACACTAGGGTTTGGCCAGAAGTTGGCGCTATTGCTGAGCCAGAAGCTGTCATCCAATTGGGAACTCTTTTCAGAGCTAAGTGCGAGGGACCAAAATTCTCTTAAACTGCTGCGGGCAGAACAAGTGTCCACAGGTGGAAGTACCACAGAAGTGGATTTCGGCTTCGTGTAAGAAAGAGCATCCCAACAGTTAGAGTTGCCCAGTCAGAACAGTTAGTGAGTCCCCATTGCCAGAGTGTTCCAGAAGGATCTGGAGAACTAACTCAGAGTAGCTGTAGGAGACATTTCTGCGCAGGCTGAGGGGTTAGCCCAGAAGATATACACATGTCCTCCCCGATTCACACTAGACATGGGTAGCTGTAGTGGTATGTCAGGCGCTGAGCTGGACACTGGATCACCAGGGTTAAGAAAACAGACACGAATCTGACCTTTCTTGAGTTTAAAGTCAGCCAGGAGGTGGGAGAGTATAAAAGATATTAAGCTAAAAGTCACAAAAATATCAATATGGCTTCAAACTATGACAATTGCTATGAAGAGAAAAAAGAAGCAGCCATGATAGCATACGACAGAGAGGAGGGGGCCTCATTTAGATTGGGAGGTGCAAGGAAGAGTTGTTTGAGAAACTGACAAGCAAGCTGAGTTGCAATACAGATGATACAGACAGACAGACGTATCCTAGTGCCAGTGGGTTAAAGGGGTGCCCCCATGCCTGGCCTTTTTTTAAGTCGACAGAGAAAGGAAGCCAGCTGCCTGTAAGAGTGTGGAGTCACCTGTCAATCTGAGTCTCACTTGGTGTATCCAAACTCACATTAGGCAGTGTCAGTGTAGTCAGGCTTTCTTTACCGCAGTTATTAGTTTCCATTTGCTTTTTCTCTGAAATTTATAAACTCATCAGTTTATTCCTTCATCAATCCATCAATCCATCCATCCAGTCTTTGGAGAGGTTCAAAGATATCTAGCCCCCAATCTCAACGGAGATGGCTGTATGCAATCTATAATGGAGGCTGCTATGTGCACAAGTTCCTGTAAGTGAAGATACATTGAGAAGATGGACGGAAAACTTATGGAAGTTTGAAGAAGCTAGAAATTCAACACCGATGAGGGCACGAAGGGAGAATTTTTTGGAAAATGTGGCATGTTGAAGCACGCCGGGGAATTCCAAGCAAAGTGAATTTGAAGGAATCAAGTCTCACTCAGCATTTGGGTTCTAAAATCAATGCATAAAGCCAAAAGAAAATCATAACTAGATAGTAATCAAAAGCACCCTTGCAAATCTGTCCAGCAGGGACCACGTTGGAGAATGACATACTATCTCGCAAGAAATCCAACACAACTGGTGTTTCCTCTCGTCCTGAAAGCAATTGCTGTTGCTTCAGCTGAGCACCAGATATGTCTGCGAGCTTGCTTTAAGGTGGCTTGTTGTATGAAGAATATGAATTCTTAAATGCTGACCTCACACGTAGCACAAGGTCCCTGGGAGCAGAGAGAAGGAGCAGGCCTTCCATGGCTCCTGCCCACTCCACTCACCGCTGACCACGGGCAGAGCGGGCAGAGCGGGCCCCAGCAGCTTCACTAATTCACTCTTGCTCCCAGCCTCTCTCTCTCTCTCAATCAATTAGCCTACCTCTCTTTATTTTTGCCAAATAAATAGTTAAATTTGCATGCATTAAATATAAATATGATGTGTATCCAGCACAACATCATCAAAGACCTGAGGCTGGCAAGGAGCTGGCCTGTCAGAAAATAGCTGGGTGACTCAAGATAGCTGAAAGTTGGGGTCTGTGTTGGTTTCCTAGGACTGCACTAACAAGCTACCACAAACTGAATGGCTTAAAACAACAGAATATTAGGGGCCAGCTTGGTGACGTAGTGATTAAGTTTGCACACTCTGCTTCGGGGTTTGCAGGTTTGGATCCTGGGAGTGGACCCACATGCCACTGATCAAGCCATGCTGTGATGGCATCTCACATAAAATAGAGGAAGATTGACACAGATGTTAGCTCAAGGACAATCTTCCTGAAGCAAAAAGAGGAAGATTGGCACAGATGTTAGCTCAAGGACAATCTTCCTGAAGCAAAAAGAGGAAGATTGGCAACAGATGTTAGCTCAGGACCAATCTTCCTCACCAAGAAAAAAAAAAACCCAGAAGTTTATTCTTTTTGGCCTTTCCCACTGCACTCTCTTTCCACCAGTGTTAATCCCTAAGGCCAAGCCCTGTTTCTGCACCTGCTTCTAGAGAACCCAATCTATGGCAACCTAACCTTTGTTGTTATTCACTTTCTTGTCTTGGCCAAGAACCCCTCAATCTACACGTCATAGTTGATGAGGCGGCAACATCCATCACAGTGGAAGCAATAGGGATGGTGTCATCTCCTGTCCTCTTAGACAGTCTACAGGCTTCTAAACTTGCCCTCACTGAGATTTTTCTGTTTAACTTAGACTGACAAGTAAGTGGAGATACCATCAGATGGTGAGGCATTTGGTCATTTTCTTGATGATCATCATTTTCTCGTCCTCCCAGAAGGAATCACCAGGAAAGTATTTGATTGGCAGGCCCGTGGAAACACAACCACCAGCTCTCTAACCTTGCCTCTTGCTTCTAGCGCAGAGGGCAAGAAATGTCTTCTGAACCGCTCACTACCTAGATGGTGTGGGTTGAAGCACATCCTAAGGTTGCTTATCACTTCTGGGACGTTGGGGTCCACCTAGAAGTGGCCAACGTTGGACTCTTTCTTTCTGCGGAATCTTCCTTCTCAAGAGCCCAGAAAGCTCAGAGAAGTGCTCGAATTCACCGATTTCTGACTGCCAGCCCCCTCAGCCACGATAAAGCCTCCCAGAGGCCATCAAGTCCACCTCTCTGTCCTTGAAGAAGGATCTCTCTCTCCAACACCCCCACATGTTTTTCCTTTAAAAGGAAAGAAATTTTCTGTTTTCTTGGCTCTGCGGCCAGATGGCAATGAGCTCCAGAAGCTCTGGAGGACTGTGGCTGGCCTCCCCCGCATTCTGTTTTCTTCCCTGCCAACTAATTCCTGCCCTTAACCTTCTTAGGTGTTAGTACAGCACCTATTATTCATGACTTCATTGACGTTCCCTCTCAGTCCCCGAAGCTGGCGGTGACTCATCCTCTCTTGTCATCGAGGGGCATCACGGGCTGTACACAGAACACTGCATGAACTGCGTCTTTGCTCTTTGATGCCTCTCCACAAAGGCACTCCAAAAACTTTGTAATTTGATGACCGAGAGGCAGACATGAAGATTTCCAATTTTACAGCCTGTAGACTTAAATTAAGCAACCGATCTGGGTCACGCAGGGACCAGGACTCTGGACTCGCCCTGGAGGAGCAGAGCCCCCAGGCCCGTGGAAAGTTAGTTTAGCAAGGGTCTACAATGTCTGTAGCTGCCCAGGCCTTCCCTGGGGGGACGCGTTTGAGCTTTCCCACCTACCAAACCGCTCTTAGCATGGCAGGGGAATGGTACTTCAGTGAAAGCCTCCTCTGCAGACAGCGTCCTTGGATTTTCCATGGGATGTTTTTATTTTGCTGAAAAGAACTGAGCATATATTGGGTTAAATGGGATTAAGGAATCTTGCTCCCAGACAAAACTTGTGTCTCTACAGCACTGATGAAGTCATACAGGATGGCGATTTCGCAGGTTACCTCCAGCTTCCTAGCCTCATGGCTGTTTGGTGAAACAGACTCTCCTTGCCCTCATTCTTAGAGCCTGAGCCATAGAGATGCTTTTGGATAAGAGAAGTGGGCCTCTGGTCATGGGACTTAGTGGAGAAAGTGACGTGGCCCTTTTAGCAAATCACACCCAGGACTATGCGGAGAGAAGCTTTATCCCAGGGTAAAGGTTTGTTGTCTTACAGACGTTCCACCTTAATGGCGGGCCACAGTTATGTCCTCTGTCCTTCCTTCCCCCATCCTGTATCTCCCGTCCCTATATCACCCAGGCCACAAGCACAGCCCCACCCCATCGCACAGTCTGAGAGAAGTCACTGACAGCCCACACTTGAGATCAAGGCCAGGGAGAGATAGAACTCTGAGGTGAAGGCCAGGTCCCAAATGTGTGACTGCTGGACTATACATACTACTCAGATATGTTGGTTTGGTTCATACAGTCTCCTTCTTTAAAATTTAAATACAAAATTTTAAACACT